AGAAACCATGGCTCGTGTGTGATAAAATTAAGCATTAATGTAAGCCATAAATGCCATTTAACATTAAACATGTACAAGCCACTGAAATGCCTGGCAAAGGGAAATGGGTACTATAGTAAAACTATACAAAGTAAGTCAGGCATGAATAATGCAGCAGGTCTGAGGAGGGTCATGGGTCAGACTCCAGTACCTTACAAAATAATGAATGCATGTCAGGTTAGAGACATACATCCCTTCCTAGCAAATGTGAGTTATTGGAGATAAACCCTGGACTTCCTGTTCTGAAACAAAGTGGCTTGTTGTAAACATCTATGTCCATTTAAAATTAATGATTAAAAGAAAGATTCAGTGGGATTTGCTTAAGTATTCTTTATGGCCACGAGTGCTAAAGGTTTCTTTCTTCATTCATTTTTACCCAGCCACTGTTAACATTACAGACACATCATGTTTTCTTCTGTGCTCAAATGTTTACCCAAAGCTCACTTACAAAAGAGCTTCTATAATATGAAGCAGGTTTTTTTCAATGCATTCTTCATTTAAATATAAACAAGAGAGCATCTCTAAAGTTTTGCTCCATTATGGGAGCCAGCCCTACTTTTAAAGACAGTAACCCAAATTCTAAATATGTTCTATGAAAATATTACACAGAAAACCATCTGTGATTCACTTGAGTATCCTGATCTGCTAAAATTATCACCTATATCTCCCATATCTTTTCCCCAAAATGCAAAAAGGATTAACCATCCTCTCGTTCTTTATTTCATATATGTGATTATGATGACTCTTTTCCTTCTGAAATCTTCACAGGGAGAAGAGTCTAATTTTACAAAATGGGAATCTTTTTCCCCTGATTTTCACCAATTTTCACAATAAAAAAAGAAGCATAATGAAAAATAATATTGTTTCATTTTTTGAAAACTAGTCTGCTTTGTTTTCTAGACTTAGATGGAGAATTTAACATCTGTTCAGTGTGTTTTCCTTCTTTTGCACCCTGTACTGCTAGCTAGCTACAGCGCAAGGAAGGGGATACCTTCTCCACAGCTATTTATACAAAACCATGTTTGATTATTTCCTTCCTCCATTTGATCATGGTAAAGAGAAAATCCCAGATTTTAAATTAAAAAATCTTTCTACTTAGGAATCTGAAAAGGAAAATTTTCTAGAGAAGTGGATCTCAAAGCTTTACAGAAATAAAGCAAATACATAGGTATTGCAAATGAAACATAAGATCGTGCATCTGATCTGTTAAATATTCCATCAACAAGGTCAAGAGTAAAGACAAGCCCAGCCACAAAAACTGAAGAAAGAGTAAGCTTTAATAAAAAAAATATGAACAGTTTATGCTCTTCAGCTTTTCAAGTGTAAAATCAAATTCTTTTATACTAGAAAAAAATCAAGCATGTACATAGCATTTAAAAAAAACACCAATATCAACCAATTTTATGAAAGACTACCCAATATTTTCATAGAACTATAAAAGAGAGTGAGACTAAGTGTTATGGCAAAAAGCCTGGGCTCAGCAGCTTTGTGTGGGAAACGGTGAAATGTGACTGTGATTTATAATAAGAAAAGGTATCTACAACATACAATTTTCTACCTAGCTGCAAATAATAATTCATAGTGATGTCCCTTCCAGATAAAATACCTTTGCAATGTAGGACTCATGTGGTAAAATGATCATGATAAATGTCAGACCAGTGCAGGTAACGGCTTTACAAACCATTAAGATTAGCTGGCTCTTTTTTTTTTTTTTTGATGATAACAGTAACCATGCTGTGACTCTATGTGGTAATAATATCTCAGTACTGATAAATGCCAGAGCCAGGCAGAGGTGTTTATCATTCCGTGTTCAGAAATGCTGACTAAAGTTACCACGTGTTGCCTGGTTTTTAATTCTTTTACAATAGACTAAAACTAACAAATAAACTGAATCACAAAACAATTTTATGCAAAATTTCTACAGATCTTGTGCTTTAGTGCCTACACAAATATCTCTAGTACACTAGTACTGATTACTTTGGAATACTAAGTTCTAAATCAAAGCTTTCTACCCTTGCCATTCTCTTAATAAATAATTTCTTTGTAAATTAATACTTCTCTTTTTAGTTTTCTTCCTTTACAAATACGTCTTATAAGGAATTGCAGCCTTGGTTACCAAGCTGGTATCTGTGTTAATCAACACACAGAAACACTTCCTTCAAGAGAGCACAATAAAGTTTTACTGTATGTTTCCTTGCAAAAATTCTGCAATGGACAAATATTGCAGAAGTCTTTTCTTCCATTGAGTCTCTCCCTACCTCAGTGTTGCAGTTCTGCTCAAGTCCATTGAATTCTCAGGAGAAAATAGAATTAAAAATAGAGCTACATGAGAAACTTTATTTGAGAAGCTGCAGTATAGCTGGCGTAGTCCCAATGTAAATATAACTTATCTAGTAAGATCATAACCTGTCTTAGTGTTGCATAGGGCAATGAAACTGGTGGAGGGTCTAGAGCACAAGTCTTTTGAGAAACAGCTGAGAGAACTGGGATTGTTTAGCCTGGAGAAAAGGAGGCTCAAGAGAGACCTTGTCGCTATCTCTCTACAACTACCTGAAAGGAGGTTGTAGCAAAGTGGGGATCAGTCTCTTCTCCAAGTAACAAGCGATAGGACAAGAGGAGAGACCCTCAAGTTCTGCCAGGGGAGGTTTAGATTGGATATTAGGAAAAATTCCTTCACTGAAAGTGTCATCAAGCATCCAAATAGGCTAACCAGGGAAGTGGTACCATCCTTGGAGGTATTTAAAAGACATGTAGATGTGGCACTTGGGAACATGGTTTACTGATGGACTTGGCAGTACCAGGTTAACAGTTAGACTTGATGAGCTTAAAGGTCTTTTCCAACCTAAAAGATTCTATGATTCTATGTATGCACACCAAGTAGCACAAATACAGAATTTGTATCCCCTTCCTACAATAAATTCACTTCAGCAAATTTAATATAACTTTCGTTTGTAACTTCAGTCATATTTCCACTGGAGAAGATCATCCATAGAACTAAAATGAACAGAACTGATAGCTTGTGGCAGAAAACATCAGTGGATGACTGAGTTGCAAGACTGGGGGAGTTTCTACTGTACAGAAGTTAAAGTTCTGTACTGGTCAAATCAGAACAAGAAAAAAATACACAGAAAGTGTATTTATAAGAAGAATGTGGACCTGCTGGAGCAAGTCCAGAGGAGGGCCATGAAGATGATCAGAGGGCTGGGGCACCTATCCTATGGAGACAGGCTGAGAGAGTTGGGCTTGTTCACGCCTGGAGAAGAGAAGGCTCAGGGGAGATCTTAGAGCAACTTCCAATGCCTAAAGGGGCTGACAAGAAATCTGGAGAGGGGCTTTTCACAAGGGCATGTAGGGATAGGACAAAGGCTTTAAACTGATGGGGGGCAGGTTTAGATTAGATATTAGGAAGAAGTTCTCCCCTGTACAGTTTGCCCAGAGAAGCTGTGGCTGCCCCATCCCTGGCAGTGTCCAAGGCCAGGCTGGATGGGGCTTTGAGCAACCTGGTCAAGTAGAAGGTGTCCCTGCCCATGGCAGGGGATTGGAACTAGATGATCTTTAAAGTCCCTTCCAACCCAAACCATTTTATGATTCGTTTGTGTTTAATTTCATTATCACTGTTGTAAATTGCATGAATTCCTATAGGATAAATCCATATGAAATTTTGGAAGATTTTTTACTGGAAAGTAATATCTATGCACTGACTACTTTGAGATCTTGTCTCTCATATCTATACAATTTTTTATACTATAAAAAGAAAAGGATATATACATATATATCCCTGTTTGTGACATTAATCTCAACAGGAATTAGGAATACGTGCTGAGGAGGAAGTATTATATTAGTAATTATAATTTTTAAGTTTAATTCTATTTCAGGGAATTTTTGCTTGAAATTTTTTTTGGGGAGAATTCTTCAAATCAAGGCACTTATCACCATGTATGCTTATGCAGCACCTACTGCAACTGGGAATCAATCCTGATTGAGATCTCTGGGTGCAAGGGTAATATGAATATTAAAAAGGAACATATACGAAGAATGATAGGTGATAATTAAATCATAGATGATAAGATCAAAAAAGTATTCTCAGGTTATCTGGGGCATGTAACACGCAAGATGTTTTCGCTACATCAGACCTACTGGCACCTTATCTAATTTGTTCCTAAACAAAAGCACACTTGCACATGACTTTAGTTGCAACATCTTATACAAATATCACTCAAACCTTTTCCACAAAACTATGTATCATACTAAACCGTGAAGATATATCTTAACAAAAAGGATAGCAAGGTTCTTATCACCTCAAAAGAGAGATTAAAGTCTTTAATACCACATTCTTTATTACTAATCACAAGTTTGAAATACAATTTTTTTCCTGCAGACATTGTGAGATACTACAAGTATTAGAAAATAGTTACGGTGGAATAACTTCTAAAAATCATAGATCACCAAAAAGCACAACTTAAAAGAATAGCAAACAATTTTGTATTTCCAAACTTGATGGAGTTTAATGTTAAGGATAGAGATTCATAAATATAGCTAATTTAATTATGATTGTTGAGAAAAAAAGGACAACAAGAACTACTTGGGTAGTGCATCCATCACAGAAGCTGTATCATTGGACAAACGTTAACTCCAATGTGGAATTCCAATTAACATGTGTGTCCCTTACTGCTTGGAGGTATTTTATCTTAAGATGATGGTCTAATAGTCTAATAAAATAAATGAAAAGCATAAGAATATATTTCTGTGAATCATAAAATGCTTCCTTAAAATTAAGAGAGAATTTCTAATATTTGCAAATTACTCTTGCTCTTTATTAAGGCAACAGAAAGTATGACATATTTTGGTATTAACCATATATTAATGATGGCTTTTCATGTTAAGGTACCACATACAGTACTAGGCAAAGTAATATCCCAACATCACACTCAGGTTGTTATTTTTTCTTTCCTCTCCCTTAGAAATCCAGGACAATGCCACTCGCATCAAATCAATAAGGACCCTGGTAAAAAAGCTCCCTCGACCAAACTATGAGACAATGAAAATCCTTTTTGAACATCTAAAGAAGTAAGTAAAACTGCAATACCAACAGATCAGTAATTTTTGAAGGAATTGGTGTGTGGTGTTCTAATCCTACTAGAAATGTCATCCAAAATACCAAAGATAATTATGCTCTTTGGCAAAAGTAAGCATGAGTTATGGTATCTATGAATATCCTATTCCTGCTCAAGAAATCAGTATGTCTAAGCAAAAGCCAATTTTTTTCTTCTATAGAAAACAAATCAGTTCTCTTTCCTCTGATGCAGTCAAACATGTCAGGATTACTATACTACAAGTATATTCACAGAATCATAGAATGGTTTGGGTCGGAAGGGACTTTAAAGATCATCTAGTTCCAATCCCCTGCCATGGGCAGGGACACCTTCTACTTGACCAGGTTGCTCAAAGCCCCGTCCAGCCTGGCCTTGGACACTGCCAGGGATGGGGCAGCCACAGCTTCTCTGGGCAACCTGTGCCAACGCCTCACCACCCTCACAGGGGAGAACTTCTTCCTAATATCTAATCTAAACCTGCCCCCCATCAGTTTAAAGCCTTTGTCCTATCCTTACATGCCCTTGTGAAAAGCCCCTCTCCAGATTTCTTGTCAGCCCCTTTAGGCATTGGAAGTTGCTCTAAGATCTCCCCTGAGCCTTCTCTTCTCCAGGCGTGAACAAGCCCAACTCTCTCAGCCTGTCTCCATAGGATAGGTGCCCCAGCCCTCTGATCATCTTCATGGCCCTCCTCTGGACTTGCTCCAGCAGGTCCACATCCTTTTTATGTTGGGAAAATGCAACAAGTTCCAGACTTTTGGATCATTATATTTTCACCATTGAGATCCCTGCTGTTCAATCTTCTTTACTGATCTTGTGTTATGCTGAGGCACATAATGACAGAAATAACCTCACCCAAGAAAATACATTATGAGCTCTTGCACCTCACAGGGAAGCTTGTGATATCACAGAACATCTAAGAAACACTGGGGAGAGATTTGGAAGTTCATCTTTGCTCTCTTAACGTTACTGATATACCACAGAGGCAGAAACATGACATCATAAGGCTCCACCTTATAATTTCTCTGTGGTTTCTGCACTCATTGAGCTCCTTCTGCAAGAAATGTCAGCCCAAAAATTCAACCCAGGATCTTGTGTTCACAGTGGCTTTTCTTCTCGTGTTTCATGGCATTAAAAGTAAAAATGTACATAGACCATGTGCTTACTCTGAAACCAACTTGCAGCTGTTTAACTTGGAGAATGACTGGGCAGAAGTGGCAGAGCTCAAGCTGGGCACATGAAGGGCAGAATTCAGCTCCCCCCTTCATGGCTGTCCTGCTGTTGGGACTAATGGGTACCATTTTGTACAGTCACTTTTCAGCCAAACTACACTTAAAATTGAAAGGACTAAGTAGGATCTAGGGCCCAAGAGAAGCTCTTGGCACAGAGGAGCATTTCATCCCAGGAATGATATAATGAACCCAGGGAGTGGGTAATAAAGACTCCAAATAAAAGACTACTCTGAGCTTATAATGAATGATGCCTTTATACTGACCATTTCTGCTACATTCTTCTGGCAGATACATGTAAGAAATGCAGATCCTTTATCTTGTTTTGCAACTCCCAGCTGAAACTGCAAAATGAAGTCCATATAGCTCTGGGAATGTCCCCGTTTCATTAAGCATGGGAGGATTTCAAACAATCCATAAAATGACTGAGTTTGGCCTGGCAGAAGACCAGTTTTCTATGTATACTTCTGATGTACCATGCACACACGTTCTCTCCTTCAGTGGGTTATCCAGAGAAGGATGATAATTTATTATTGTCAATAGAAGAATAATAAGGGAAATTCTTTCCTGAGAAGACCTTAGTGAAATAAGTGGGTACACCCTGTCAGCACAGATATGCCATATACAAGATTTACTGCACCATATGTGGCATTGATCCTAACCTGAAAAAAGTTTTGTTACCATGTCTTAGGGGAGGGATACCAGGTATACACAATAAGTCTTTGATCACATAGTTAAATCACTTGATTGAGACTCAGGAGACGTGGGTTCAGTTCTTGGCTTTGACCGGATGTTCTGGGTGACCTTGGGTAAATCACTTAATCTCTCTGTGCCTTGGTTCCTTGTTTACAAAATGATGATAATACTTTCTTTGTCTGCCTTGGCTTTTCAGAATATAATCTGTTTGGGACAGCAATTGTTTCCTGCTGTGTATGTGTAGAATAACTGGCAAAACTGGACCAAGACTGGTGCATTCTGGAGATTAAAAAAAAAAAAGGGGGGGGGGGGGGGGAAGAAGAACCCCACACTAAAATACAGACAATAAAATACCAATACATCAATACTTTACAATGCATATGCACGCAATACTGGGCTTGACTACAACTCTATAGATACAGTTTACTATATCTATGGTAAATCTAAGATTACTATAGATATAGTAACACCTAAATAAGCACGTTTTTACCTAGGTGTCTCTGCAGAATGCATGATGAAGATAAAGGTATATGATAGAATAACATGGCAAGGAGTGATGAAAGGCAGGAAGATGTGGTATTTGAGCCATTTGCAGCTCTGATCTTTATGGGAGGAACTGTCTGAGTCTCCGTGAAGAGAGTCAGGCTTTTCTGCCAAACAAATCAGGGAAAGATAGGGCTATTCCACTAGCTTTATTCCATTGATATGGAAGCATAATGTGCCAATCTCACCACTGACTTGCTCCTTATTCACCATCCCTTTTAATTACAGGGTTTTCTCAGTATAAATCATAGGATGTTCAAAAGCTGCCAATTAGTTGAAAACAATAAGTAAACTGGTTTGATTTGAGGTATATTACTGCAATTTCTGGATTTGCTGCTGTTCTTGACCAGTGTTGTACAGGGCTTCAAGGGGTTTCTGATGGGGAAAAGCTGAAGGACTGCAGTTATGCTGTTTCTATGGCATTCCTCTCTTTCTCCTACCTCTTTCTTTCCTCTCTGTCAGACAGATAGGAGAATAGGGCTATGCAGACATGGGCCATGGGACTGTTCAAGCCTGTGACTTCTGTACAGCACATATAAGAGCATATGTCTCACTCACATGCAGAAGCTCCTCATGAGAATCCAACCTTTGCCCAAAAGGCTACACTTATCCTAAATCACTGATAGCAGTGAGGCTGCACTATAGTTTCATTCTGTGGCAATCCAGTCTGCAGGAACAGGTCCAGATCAAGCACAAATAACAATGTGAAATGCACTACTTCAGAAGGTTCTTCTTTAAGAAACCCAGACAAAGTAGCCAATGAGAGTCTGCAAGGAAGGTCTGGCAGCAGGGATTAACTTTAGTGCCATATATCTTTCTTAGACCAAGCCCTCTGAAGTCACAATACAGTGTATGAAACCCACAGGAGGGGATTAAAAGCAAAGCTTGGGGTTTCAGTACCTGTTCTTTTAAGGTTTTTGTATTTGATGGGAGAAAAATCCACCCGGCAAAGTTATCCTGTTCATCTTTGCATGAAATTTATTCTACTCACAGGCAGGAAAGACAAAATATGGGGCTGAACAAAAATATCACGTAGCCTTTGTAAGCCTATTACCATAAGAAATTGCTTTATTAGGACTCATACTGAAAATAACTGAACACGGCTACCGTTAGGTTATTCATACTTCTTCCTGAAGATGACTAAATCAAACAAATACACTTTACACATTAAAGAAAAACAAACCCCAACCTGAGCAGGGATTTCCCCAAATAAAGAGCTAGAAAAATCAACCTGTTCTATTTGAACATGCTTGTAGAATACTTGTGTGCTATACATAGCACATATACTGTCATCCCATTAGCAAAACCAGTATCCCTGTTCCACAGGATTTCATTCTTTTCTGTTGCTTATCTACAAGTGAATTTTGCTCACATGGTGAGCTAATTGCAGGTATTAGACAAAATTGACATACTTTTCTGGTCCTATTTTGCAGGCATATGTAGGACAACATACGATGCAGAAACCTTGTATTGGCTCTCTGCACAAACATGAACTGAACACAACCAAGCCTCATCTGATAAATCATTATCTGTACCCAGTAATTTACTTACAGGACTATAACTCAAGTGAGGCACAAGGAGCATTTTGCTCGCTAAAGATCCCACAGAATATTATGATTTAACCTGCTTTCACAGCAGCATCTTGAAGAAGCTGTTACACACCCATTGGGAAACTGAGGCACAAGACTTTTAAATGACTTAGAGACTCGGCATATGCCAGCAACACAATCTAAATACCTGGAGGTTTTTTTGTTTGCACAGGAGTTTCTCCAGCGACCACAAAATACTCTTTCCTACCTAATGCAAAATGCCACAGGGGAAAGGAACACCCTGGCTGGGCCCTCTACATCACCCTCTGAGCTGGTGAAGGGAACAGACACAGCTCTGCTCCAGAAGCTGTGTGCCTGCATTATACTGTGCCTGAGTTAATAAGCTGTGCTTATTAATGTTAAATTAATGAATCTCAGCCTGCTCTGCTTATTAGGTTGAGCTCCTTGCCACTGCAAGGCAGCTCTGCAACTCCCAGACCCAAGCTGTCTCACATCTGACCAGGCTGGAGCACAGGGCAGCCAAGCTCGAGTCTGTCTTTACCCACTCATGTAGACATCCCTGCAAAGGGATATATTACAGACAAAACCCCCCTCCTTGCTTCTAATTTTCCTGCATGAAGGCAGGATAATATATGTTATTTACAAAAGTATAAAATGGATGTTGAAATAATTAAATGGGAAGGCAGGGGCCAGCCTGACACTACCATCCCTCTCCCTTACGTGGAAAGCACTGAACCCAGATGCCCAACTGTGGAAGATACTCTTCCAGCAGCAGCATCTGCCTCCTTGGCAGGCACTTCAGGCAAGTTGTCTGGGGAGCTCTGTAGTTGCCTCTTGGTTTATCACGTGGATCTGTTACTGTGGTCTATCTGGCCTCCCTGTCTAGGCAGAAGCCAATTCCTTTTGATTCACCTTTGAATCCAAGGAACTCCATTTATTTTTCCCATACTGTACATGGC